CAGGCTGACCTCAGAATTCACAGAGACCCACCTGCCTCTGCCTGTCCACCCCCACCCCCACCCCATGTCAAACTTTAGACCAAGCTGTCTCAGCATCAACACTACTGACATTTTGGGCCAGCTGGTTCTTTGTCGTGGAGCTGCCATGTGTGTTGTAGGACATTTAAAGGTATTCCTAGCCACTCACCAGAGGCTGGTACCAGTCATGACAACCAAAAAAGTTTCTAGACATTGCTAATGTTTTGGGGATGGGAGAAAGGGAACGGATGACCACACTGAGAAACTCTAAAGGCTTAGAGTGAAAGTTTATAGCAATGATGCTGGTACTCGGTCCTCAGGAGTCTCTTTTCTTCTGGATTCCAAGCCTCATGAATTCTCACTACAGTTATGTAGCTTTATCCTTGAAAAGCAATATGCGCCGGGCGGTGGTGGTGCACGCCTTTAATCCCAGCACTCGGGAGGCAGAGCCAGGCGGATCTCTGTGAGTTTGAGGCCAGCCTGGACTACCAAGTGAGTTCCAGGAAAGGCGCAAAGCTACACGGAGAAACCCTGTCTCGAAAAACCAAAAAAAAAGAAAAGAAAAAAAAAGAAAAGAAAAGAAAAGAAAAGCAATATGCTTGAATATTTTCAGCAGGAGAATCAGCTTGTTTGCCACAACTTTAAATTTTACATGCACAATGATATTTGCGTGTCAAGGATGCTAGCTAAACCAATGAAAATCAGCTGTATAGGCCGTACCAAAAGGCAGAATATCACAGGTTCACTTAAAGGTTTAGAGATGGGTGATTCTAAAGACTATAAAACATGACAGGGCTTTCACATAAAAGCACATCAATTCAATTTAATATTTAGCCTAGAGAGCAGGCTGTCTAAACAGTGGCAAACAGACAGGAGAGTTAACAACCAAGTATTTGTAGAGAGGACCAAACATTGGTTATTTAATTCATCATCCACAGACTCTCCAGTTAAAAACAGATCTCGCTGGGCGTGGTGGTGCGCGACTGTCATACCAGTCCTTGGGAGGCAGAGGCAGGGGACTGCTAGATGTTCAAGGCCAGCATGGTCTACCTAGAAAGTTAAAGGCCATCCAAGGCTAATTAGCAAAATTGTGTCTGAAACAACAAGTTTTTTATGTGAAATCTCAAATATTTCTGTTTTGAAACTAATCATACAAGAAACTACCTATTAAAAAAACAAACAAACCCCTACATAACATACAAACTACAAATCATACAAGACACCCTCTTGATTTCTTTTTATCTTTTCAAGTATAAAACTACTTAACTATAGTAAAAACAACAACAACAACAAAAACCAACCCACACACACAGTAAAGAACACATGCCTCCAAGTTCACACTCAGGAGACAGAGGCAGGTGGATTTCTGTGAGTTTAAGGGCAGCCTGCTCTACACAACAAGTTCCAGGTCAGCTAAGGCAATATAGTGAGGCTCTGTCTCACAAATTTAAAAAAAAGTTTTTTTTTTTTTTTTGTTTTGTTTTGTTTTTTAAGTTTCTTGTTTTTCTGAGACAGGGTTTGTCTGTGTAGCTCTGGCTGTCCGTCTGGGAACTCTCTCTATAGACCAGGCTGGCCTTGAACTCAGAGATCTGCCTGCCTCTGCCTCCGAGTGCTGGGATTAAGGTTTGCGATACCACCGCCAGGCCCTTATCTGCCACTCTTAATGAAATGACTGTTTGAAACTAAAGAGACCTCTTCTAAGTTGTGCATAATGGTTTAAGGCTGTTAATCACATAACTGGGGAGGCTGAGGCCTCTTCTTTGATTCTGTGGCTCTTTTTTTTCTTTTTTCCCCCCTCCAACAAACTGATTACTCTTTCCAGTTGGTTACTTCTCAACTTTGACCGATATTCACTGGCTGGCCAACACTGTGCTAGAATTTTAAAAACAAGCTCCTTACTCCATCATTTCTCTAGCACATCACTCACCCATTCCTGCTTCCCCCAGAACACCGCAGACTATATCCCTTTAGGAGCCTGCTCAAGAAGCATCTTCTTTATGAGAACTTCCGACGGCCTTTGTTATTTCCGGTAACGGAATCTTCCTGCACTTTGTCGTGCAGATGGATGACTTTCATTTACTGGGAGATGTACACACATCTCATCAGAACCCCAGCTTTGCAGAGAGGCTGTGCTTTCTCCTTGTACAGCCCCTTCACAGCTTGACTCACAGCATCTGGCCTAGAATCGGGTTACTTTTCTAGATTTAATATTAGTGAAATGCAGAACCAACACTAACCACTTGCTTCATAGTTGTTCGGCTGCCTCTGCACCTTGGCTGCCTCTCAGATTAGTAGCCTAGACACACACACACACACACTCTCAAAGCCACCACCTAATCACATTTTCAGAAGAGAGAATGAAAAGAGACGCTTTGGGGCATGCTTTAATCAAGGTGAAGGCGATTTGGAAACCATGAGAGAGGTAGCATTCGGCCCTTCATAGCTCTTCTGAACTCTGAGATACCCGTCTTTGACCTCTCAATCCTCCTTAACTTCCGGAAGACACTAAGAACCGGGAAGCGAAGCAACAGCGCCAGGGTCTGAACCGGCTTTTAAGCGTCCCGCCCGCGGGGGCCGCACCTCCGACGTCTCGGAATGGCGCAGAGCGAGCGGCACCCCGGGGTCGCGGAAGTCTGTTTGATGGCTGTTCTCAAGTTCTAGAGGTCGCTGGGTCCTGGGACTCACCTTCTCTCAGCCCACGAGCTGGAAGCCATAGCCAGCCGGTCGCGGCGGGGCCTGCCAGGAACCCTTGGAGCTGCCGCCCGCAGCCGGACACCAGCGCCCTGAGGGCCGCCATCTTGGAAACACACCTGACCTCGCGTGTACTTCCGCTTCCGGAGCGGGGCGTACGCAGCCGCCGTGCGGGTTTCTCGTGGTTACCCCGATTGCTTCTGGTTCGCTCAGCAGTCGGGATTGGGTCTAAGGGTGCGCCTTTGTGTGAAGCAGGTGTTCTGTTCTGAATGTCTAGGGGAGATCCTCCGGCAGCTGTATGGCAGAACCTGGTCCCTAAAGTTGCCCGTTAGTTTCTCCTGGTAAATCGCACACCTCACCATTTCTCTAGTTTTTCTTCCTGCTTGCCAGCCGTGGGTTTTCAGCTTTTGTGATTGGGGCTAGGCCCGTCAGGACAGATAGAAATGGTAATGGACTCTGGCTCTGGGAGCCCCAGACCTGGAACAGAATTGACCTTCCTCCCACCTGCCAGTCTTCCTGTCCTGAACTTGGCACCACCCATCTGCCTATTCTTAAAAATGCTTTGTTAAGAGTTTACTTCAAACTTTAGTCACTGTGGAAATGACGTTGACCTCCCCTATGCAGCATCTGTCTGGTTCTCTGCAGCATCTGTCTGGTCCTCTGCAGCATCTGTCTGGTTCTCTGCAGCATCTGTCTTGGTGCTCCACGGTTGCAGTCTCCCCGATGGGATTGCAAATTCTATTAAGGCAGAAACATTGTTGCCAGATGTGGTGGTTCACGCCTTTAATCCCAGCACTAGGGAGGTTGAGGTAGGTGGATCTCTGTGAATTCCAGGACAGCCTGGTCTACATAGTGAGTTCCAGGATAGTCAGAGCTACACAGTGAGACCCTGTCTCAAAAAAGAAAGATTGCAATTTTTGTTGACTCTCATGCCCCCAGCTCCTAACACAGGTCCCTGATATTTAATAACACATAATAATGGTACAATGTATACTTGTCAGTGAATAAGTAGAACCTGTTTTATAAAATAGGTTGTTGCAAAGATTAAATAAATCGTTCATGATCAATAAATATAAGCTAGTTAATAGGACAATTATGGAGATGGCTCTTTTCACGAGCTTGACATATTTGCCTTATAAGAAAAGTTAAAATACTAAAAAGAAAATAAAATTGCTTAATTTTCCTTCTTTCAGATTTTCAGGACATAGAGGATGTTCCCCTGAGCTACCTAAGAAAGGAAAATCATTTACACCTCAATTCTTCCTTTTGATGATAAAGGCCTTCCCCCACGCTTTATCCAATATAAGCCTAAAAGGGGTGGGGGTGTCCCTAGTTATCCTACTCTGGTCCTCTGGTGAGAAACACTAGTCTACTGAAAGGCACAGCACGTCCTCTGATGCTAGAGAGAGAAAGGACCTGCTGTCTAGTTGGTACTGGTGTCCTGCTGGTCTAGGTGGATGTGGAGCTTTGTAGCATCACTGTAGACAGGAAGAACAGGAGAAATACCACACTGAGCAAAGGAAGATACAGGCAAGAACTGAAAGGCCACTTAAGGTGGGATTGATTGACACATGACTTTGAAGCAGGTTTCTGTGGGGTGCACTTCCAGGTGGTCCAGACAAGATCAAGATTTGACTCACTCTAGCTTCCAATTTCCCCTGCTTTTACCACATTCCTTGTTTTTTTTTTTTTTTTTTATTCACTTCCAACTTCTGGGGACTGAGCAGAGGCCAGGGTAGTCACTGAGTCCCACCTGACACTTGTGGGCATAGTGAGCTCAAGCATTTGGGTGCTAGCCCTTCCCAGTTATGTTTTCTAGCTTACTGTAATCAACATAGATTTTAGGGTACTGGGCAGATGGATCAGTTAAGAGCCCTGGCCACACTTTTAAAGGACCAGGGTTTGGGTCTCAGCACCCATATGGCAGCTCACAACCTGCTGTGCCCCCAGTCCTAGGGGATTTGATGATCTCTTGTCTCCAAGGGCACCAGGCCTAAACATGGTGCTCATTCAAACATGCAAGCAGTCATACACTTAAAATAAAAACAATCCCTTCCTGTTCTGCCCAGCGAAGGGACCATATGTGCCATTCTTAATTCCTGTTGTAACAAAGGGAAACTTTTCCTAGTATCTGGAGCTCTTGATACCCTACATGTGGAAGAGGAGGGTGTCCTTAAATTCGTGGCAGCAGGAACTGGCTGAGGTGGCACCAAGTTTGACTTGGGTTGGAACAATCCACCCACAAGAGGAAAACTGATGGAATCTGGGTCATAAATCTGAGGAGGACCTGGAAACGCTGCTGCCGGCTGCTCTGGCCATTGTTGCTTAGGTCAGCACCATTTCCTCCAGGAACATGGCCAGCGAGCTGTGCTGCCCTTTGCTGCCGCCACTGGAGCCGCTCCAGCTGCTGGCTGCTTCACTCCTGGGACCTTCACTAACCAGATCCAAGCAGCCTTCAGGGAGGTGACCAATCCAAGGCTGACCACCGGCCCCTCACAGAGGTGTCTTATGTCAGCTTGTTTACTATTGCTCTGTCTAACACAGATTCTCCTCCACGTTTTGTGGGTGTTGTGATTGTTAGATTACTAAGAGGCAGCTGTAGAGAGGCAGAAGGTAGAAAGAAAGAAAGAAAGAAAGAAAGGCTTGCTCGGACCATAGGTGGACCATGTTTATTCCTGGCAAGGCAGCATCTTGTCATCCACATGTGTAGATGACCAAAATGCCTACAGAGAGAGATAGGGCGGAAATGACTTCCACAGTCTGAAAGGGAAGCTGGGAAGTGTAGTCTTTCAGCAGGAAGCTATCATTCCTAACTCTGAGAGGATATACATTATGCAGGTCAGGGACGTTATAGCTGTGTCTGCTGAGGAGAGTCTTTGTTAGAGGGGGGAGTTGTGGGTCCATTGGGGGAGGGGCTTCTAGTCATGTAATTTGATTGACTTTGATGAATCAGGTGATTGCCATTTTGCATTCCTGGAGAGATTTGGAAAATAATTATTAGAGGGCTGTAAGCAGATGATTTGGTTACAGAGCAGAACCAAGATAGTTCCCGGGAATCTTGAGGGATAGGGAGGAAGAGAGGTGGGAGGAAATGGGCACAGAGTTGATTCAGGGTGGCAGTGATTGTCCCATCACCAGGACTGCTGGACTAAAATGAGCCAGCAGAAACAGCAGGGAGCTGCAGAGCATAAAGGACGGAGACAGGAGAAACAGGGGGCTGATGTAAAGATTTGTATCTGGCTCAGGGTGAAAGGGATGATGTTCCCTTTAGCCTGTTTCTCCACAGCATCTAAAAGGTCTTTTTGCAGATGTATCAGGAACACAGGGAGCTGTTGTAGGGTGAGAGCATTGGGAGAGCTTGCGCGGGACGTTTTGTTTGGGTACAGGGTAAAGTTCTGTAAGTAAAGCATTTAAAAATGGGGTAAGAACGTAAGAGTGGGGATAACGAGGAGGAAAGAGGGGAGTAATGCAGCAGGCAGGGAAGGATGTGAAGTTCGTCTGAGCTGGTCCTGAAAGATGTGAAGTTCATCTGAGCTGGTCCTGAAGGATATGAAGTTCGTCTGAGCTGGTCCTGAAGGATGTGAAGCTCGTCTGAGCTGGTCCTGAAGGATGTGAAGTTCGTCTGAGCTGGTCCTGAAGGATGTGAAGTTCGTCTGAGCTGGTCCTGAAGGATGTGAAGTTCGTCTGAGCTGGTGCTGAAGGATGTGAAGTTCATCTGAGCTGGTCCTGAAGGATGTGAAGTT